ATGATGTATTTATTATAATTATAATTTGTATTTATAATTATAATTATAAATATTATATATATATATAATTATTATTATATATTATTAAATAATATGGAAAGATAAACAAAAAGTGATAGTATTATTAAAGAATATATTGTAAAAGAGTGATTGTGAGGAAGAGAGTCAGAAAGAGAGAGGGAGAGAGAGAGAGAGAGAGAGAGAGAGAAGGAGGAAGTAGTAATATGTAGGCTTGCAGTTAGGATGTTCTGAGCGATGGCTCGTTATATCGAGTAGCCGCTTGTTGCATCCCCTAACGCCATAATGTAAACAAGGGGTTGCGCGCGCTTACCACCCTTCCACACTGGCCAATTCTCTTTCTCTCTCTCTCTCTCTCTCTCTCTCTCTTTCGTTTATATGCGCGAACACGTCCTCCTTTTACCATGTAACTTCCTGGATCGAAGTTGTGTCGAGCTAGTCCCGTAGGATATTTCTAACCGTAATTTAACACAGAAAAAGAGAAAGAGAAAGATAGAGAGAGAGAGAGGGAGAGATAACGGTCAGAGAAAGAAGAAAAACAAGAAGAATTAAGTGGAATTTGAAGAAGAAAAAGGAGTGAGATGGAGATAGTGATATTAAAAGCGGGAAAATGTAGAGAGATTGATGTCGATGTACGAACCTTCCCTCTTGACCGTCGAACCGTATAACCGGTACTCCTACTACCTCCATCCCCTTCCTACAGTTTACCTTTTACTACCTCACAGTGTAAACAAAACGACGATAGATTAACGAAGATACATTCTGTGCTATATAGAAAGATAGATAGATATATAGATAGATAGATAAGTAGATAGATAGATAGATAGAGAGGAAGAGATAGAGAGAGAGGAAGAGATAGAGAGAGAGAGAGAAGAATAGAAGGGAAAATTATATGGGATGATGTTATAAATAAAACAAGGATGGGCAATATTCTTTCAAAAAAAAAAAAAAATAGCTTAGTTGTAAGAGAAAGAATTTATGAACAAAAATAGAAATATAATATAACATGTTATTAGATAAAGATAGAAAATATTTAGAGAGTTTATTGTGTGTGTTTTGAGAGAGAGAGAGAGAGAGAGAGAGAGATTATAAACGAATTAGGAAAAAAGGTAATATATTTGAAGAAGGGTATAAATAAAAAGTGAAGAAAGATAAATAAATGTATAAAAAGATGGATAGATAAATAAATAGATCGATATATAGATAGATAGGATAAATATTTAATAAATGTTGAAAAATATTAATAGATACATATGAATAAATGAAAGGAGGGAAAGATTAAAGGAAAGAAGAATATTGGTAAGTGAAGAAGAATGAGAAGAGAAGGAGAAAGAGAGAGAGAGAGAGAGAGAGAGAGGGTGGATGTTCTTTCGTAGTGGAGAGGGAAATAAGAGGATACGAAAAGGGGCTGCGAGAGGTAGCAAGCCAGCTGCTAAGCGCAGAGCGCGTTGATTCGTCTCGGTGAGTGGGTTGCTTCTCGTGTTTCTAACTTATTAACAATAAATATTATCTCGTGTGTGTGTTTTTTTGTCACTCTTTCTCTCTTTCTTTCTCTTTCTTTATTTTTCTCTCACTCTTATTATTTTCTCTCGCATTTTATCTTTATCTTTTAATTTTATTATCTGCTTTCCCTTTTGCTTCTTCACATCTACTTAAAATAATTTTGTTTCTTTTCTTTATCTTATATTGTTTTATTTTTTTATTTTTTCTCGTTCATTTGTCATCATTGATATCAATCGATGGATTTTCTTAAATTTTCTCGATTTTCTTCATACGTGGGATAGAAAGAGACTAAATATAAACAGAAGAAGAGGAGGAGGAGGTGGAGGTGGAAGAGGTGAAAGAAGAAGAAAAAAAAGAAGAAGAAGAAAAGGAAGAAAGGAGGAAGACAATATCGTCGAGTTTCGAGACCGGTCTTTGAGAAACTTCTTTTTTTTTTTTTAATTATCGACGATTAACGAACTTTGAATAGGATTCTTGTTCTTTTTTGCAATTAAAAGATCAAATTGTAATAAGAAACGATTATAAAATCGAAATATATATGTTTCCTCATATAATAGAAAAGAAAAAACACATATTTGATATAATAATTTTGTTGATTCTTTTAATTATTATTATTATTGTTATTATTATTATTTGAACGTAAGGGGTGAGTCAGTTAACGGATAATAGGATGAAGTCGGAAAGCAATAACGGATACATCAGGGCTAATGTCATCCCAGAACAAAATGAAAATACCTCTCCTTCGGGACAAGACGTTCCTTTAACTGGAAGTCCACTTCAGGTATGATTATTTATATATGTAAATAAATAAAAAAATATCTCATGACCATATATTTATATTATAACATATTTAATTTTAATTTTTAATCTATATTTATTTATTTATATTTTGTTCATTGTTATTATAGACAATATTAATTTTCCGTGCCAAAATTTCGCGCGCAATTCGAAACGAGAGGGCTTTTACAAATTACAATTAAAATTATTATTCTCTAATTTTTTTTTTTATAGCTTTATTTAATGTCGCATTAACCATCGAGAATTATTAGCGACATAAGAGTTATAGATTATAGTTTATTATACATATTAATTTGCTTAAAATATTTTAGTAGATTTATTATAGTTGTTTTGGATCTGTAATTTTATTGTTAATTTTCTTGTATGTATTTTTATTTATTTCTTTTTTTCATAGCTACACTTCTCATTGTTTTAATAATTTTAATGAATTGCTATTATTTTTGTTGTTGTGTTGGTTTCTTTTGTTTTTTCTTCGCATGATAAAATAATTAACGATTCTCCTTCTTCTTTTTAACATTTTAACCTTCGCGCTGGAGAATATTTACTAGCAGGTAGATAATATCATCGATCGAGTACACAATACCATAGACTAGTATAATTAATGCGAAGTAATTTTGACCAATTACCGAGACACCTGCATCGTGGATAAGGAAGACGTAGGACAGATCGTAAAAAAGAAGAGTGTCGTTTAATAACGTGAACATGTGACAGATACACATATATAAATAATAGAAAAATTCTAGAAGAAAAAGAAAAGGATAGAAAAGAAAAATAAATTTCAATTTTCATATATACGTATACTCTTTCTCGCACATACACACACACACGCGCGCATATATGTAAACGCATGCATATATTTACATATTATATATTGTATATATCGTATCGATGATTAAGAAGAAAAAGAAGAGCTTAAAAATAAAAGGTTCAACTTTATTTACATGGCAAGTTATTTTCGTATTTTTAAATATACAATATACATATATATATATATTTATGGTAAGTGAAAAATCGATGTAGAAAATTATTTTTTTCTTTTTCGGAAAAAAGAAACAATATTAAACGAATAAACTTTTTTATCATTTAATTTACCATAATTCTATTAAGTTTTACTATCGTTTAAATTCATTTTAATGATTATGATTCAAATTACAATTACTTTTATTTCGATACTATTATTTTATATAAATAAAATATTCAAAACTAGCTGCATAAATCAATCATAAATTTATAAAAAAAATGTAGTACAGAAGAAAAGATAAAAAAAAGAAAAATTCGAAAAAGTAGTGTAATGCGAAATAGAAAGAAGTATATATATATATATACATACTTCGAGAAGAGAAAAAAAAAGCTTTTCCTATATAATTTTTTCATATACTAATACGTAACTTTTTTATGAAGCATTTTCGAGCTCATCTTTCTTTTATTTTCTAACAGATATTACGAAAGAAAAATATTCAAATATTTATGTTACACGTTTCAATCTTTTTCACAGATTTTCCTTATTCGTATTGTGACGTCTATTGTAATAATACAATGGGTGAAAAGGATCGAGTCATTCACATCGACTCTGAAAGGATTATTCGGTAGATGAAAAGAAGTGTGAATGTTTACTTATAGCCAAGATATGTTCCTTTTTCCTTTGCATTTAGGTATTCTAATTGAAACAGGTTTTTGCAAAGGGTCTCCGACTTTGAAGAAGCTCAGTTAATCGTGATTGCGTATAACGTTTCTTAATTTGTGGTGACAGGTGTAGAGGGTTCAGAAAATGTTTGTTAGTGTTCTGAAAATTCGATTATATGAAAAAGGTTTTTTTAGAAAATAGTCGGAGGGCTTGGTTTCCCATACATGTTCGGGTTTCGAGCACTTGGTTTAATTTGTTTTATCGTTTGTTGAGTTGTTGTATGAATTATGTGTATTAATGTGAGGTAGGTCGTTCAGAGAATTATTAAAAGATTCTTCTGTATACTTTTCTATTCCTACGAAGCCCTTTCCCAAATCCTCAATTGGGTTTTGTGCCCACAATTATGAAAGTTGTTTGACATAAGTTATATATCCCTTGTTTCGAGATATTTTAAAGGATTACATTTGAGTACTAAATGAATTCTATATAATATTAAAATAACAAACATTATCTAATGGTTTATTTTTGACAATATAGTTAAAATTACATTGAATTATTTTAGTTTAAAATAATGTTGTGTGAAATAATTGTTTAACTCAATTTTTTTTTTTAATTTTGACTTATCATTAGATCACTTTCATAATTATGGGCACATATCTGGTTGGTATTCAAATATATTGGTTGAGCAATCTATTTCGTAATAAATAAGGTCAGATAAAATTTTGTATAATTAATCAGTTATTGCATCCCATAGATTTTCGTACATGTGAATTTTAATTCAGGGTCAAACCTTTTAGAGAAAGGTTTTCTAAGTTTCTATTGCTTTTCGTAGTTTGTGGTAGTGGCTTAATATAAAGTATGGGTGATACTACATAATCTGGTTCTAGATTTTGATTAACCACGTCGACCTCATTGCGATGTCAAAAGTAGTGGAATGTCACAGTATGAATAATCAGAAAAATAGTACGAAGAAAAATTATTTACCTTGAAAGTATTTATTCTTCAATAATACTTGAATTAATTTTACACGTTTAAAGTGAAAATATTGAATTTTAATTTATTGTATGAAGAATTAAAGTTATTATCCTTGACCAACTCTTATATTATTTGTTTTAATTAATAATTCAACAGGCTTTTCATTTTGTTGATTTTCTTTTTATACTTTTTTATATTTTTTTCTTTATATACATATATTCTTATTTATTGTTTTACATATTTTTTAATAATTAATAATACTAAATACAGCATAATACTATATTAAATAATATTATAATATATATAAAAATAATAATAATAATAATAATAATAATAATAATATAAAATTCCTATTATAAATTTAATTAATTTATTTTCAATGCACAAAATTGAATTAAAGAGTATTAACTTACTATTTTTGTTTAGTTTTTTTTTTCTTATGAATAAAATTATGATCAAAATCAACTCGTAGATCGAACTCGAATCCTGTTCGTCGTAAAAATGACTGATAAACGTTTCACTTTTTGTTTCATTTTCCTGCTAATAACAAAAAGGTGACCTATGGACCAACAGGAAGCACAACAGTGACCAGCATTCTTCATCCAACGAATACGAGAAGTCAAGTACCTGGAATAACACGTGCCACTTCTGTAACAAGAAGACGAAGAGGTGCATCTGCAAGGCAGCAAATGTTAGGCATTTTTGCTGTAATATTGCTCGCCATTTCTATATTAATTCTTCTTATCTTGGTATTAAATACAACGCGGGAATGCGTCCAAGAACCACGTAAGTTATATCTTTTGTTTCATTTCTAATTTTAATTATCTTTCTCATAATCGATCAATGTTGTAAACCGTCATAATATTTACCTACGTTGTACAGTCCGTTATAAAAGAATATTTAGATAAATTTATTAAAAAGATACTTTATTATATTAATTTTGAAAGAAAAATATAAAGACTTACTTAATTGTTAGGTGTGTCAATGTTGAATAATTTAAAAATATATTTAAAAAAAAACAGAACTCGTTTGTTTTACAGTAATTAAGAAGAAAGAAAACAAGAAAATTTTTAATACATTTTTAATTGAATTATTTTTATATTTATAAAAAAAAGGGTAGATATATTCTTATATTAAACAGATCCCCTATTCTAAATTATTCAATAAATATAAAGAAATGAAAAAGATAAAGAAAATTGTGTTTATTTTCTTTCTTGTTTTTTTTTTTTTAATTGCAATTATTAAAATTAAAAAAAAAAGGAATTATTTTTTATAAAAGGAGAGAAAGGATAAATTTCGTTGTATTACACGTATTACTTACGTGTATTGCACGTATTCTATAAATATAATCAAATATCGTAAAATAGATCTTAAATCGAAAATTTATCTCACTCGAATGGTGATTTCGTCGTTGACCTCGTTAGTGACCTTGAGATAAGGAGGAAAGTCGAGATACCGATGCGCTATCGTAACATAAAGTATACGGTGCTTTAACAGAGGGGTTGTGAAACTATGCTCGCCACGTGTCACGATCGTTACGAAAAAGTTTTGCTATTGGGAAAGGTGTTAGTTCGTGAGTTCGTGCTCGAAATTCAGACGAAATGTATTTTTATCTTTTACTTTTCAAATGCATCTTTTATTTACGTGATAGTTCATGACCAATCAAATTTTATTTTTTACTTCTGACATATATAAGAAATGTATATACCTATATATATATATATTTATTTATTTATTTGAACTAGAATCTTTTATATATATATATATATATATATATATATATTTTTTTAAATATTATCATAAAAATAATTTAATAAAAATAATTTAGAACAACTTGTTGTAATATATTATTGTTGATAATTATACTATATTTTTCATATTTTGTTACGAATATTTATGTAAATTATTCTGAAATATTTCCAAGTCTTACTTATTTATTATAAATAAGTAATATTATATATATATATAATATATATTTATAATATAATTAATATAATATAATAAATATTACTTATTTATTATAAATAAGTAATAATATATATAGAAAATATATGGAAAATATATTTTTTAATATATTTCTTTTATATATTAAATATTTATAGAAGTTTATATATTGCATTTGAAAATTATATAAATATTTGTTTAAAATGAACGAAAAATCATCCTTTAAAATATGTTATTGCACTTCTACTAATTAATTTTGTAGAAAATATATTCTTCTTTAAATATATTTTTTTTATTACATATTTATACAAGATTATAAATTACATTTTAAAATTACACGAATACATCAATTAATTTTTTTTTCAAGTAGAATAAAATAACGAATAGTTGATTTCTTTTATGGAATATATTCCGTCAAATAAAACAGATCGTTATATCATTCATTGAATTTTTTCTAATTTGATCCTAACAAATCGTCGTTTTCTACTGGTGAAAGGATTATAAATCCACTTTTGGAATGGCCTTTTCGAGTAGAAGGACACGATAACCTCGACTCGATTCGATTTCATTTAAGATTATGTCGATAATGGCATAAATCTTTAGCGTTCTCATTGAGGAAAAAAAAGAAAGAGAGAGAGAGAGAGAGAGAGAGAGAGAGACGAAAAAAGATGAATGAACTGCTAGTACGAAATTAAATTGAAAAGAAAAAAAAAACACAGCATGTTATCCAAGCGACATAATTTCGTTCAACTTTTTTATTTTTTCTTCCACGTATCATTTCGTAATTGGGAATTTTGATCGATCGGTCGATCAATAATTTTTGCACAATTTTTGTTAGATCAGGTGATCACTTCAACTTCGTTTAAAATGAAACTTTTACTTCTATAAGTACAGGCTGGTTTAAAAGTTCCTAGATCAATTTTATATCAATTATTCTTCTCCTAAACATTTTATATTGATAATAAACTTTACAGTTTGACAAGATAGATTTATTGTCTTACAATTTGTTAAAAAAAAAAAAAAATTTACCTCAAAAGTATCGAAGAAAAAGGATGTAATTTAATTTTAAAATTATCTAAGAAAATTTGTATCATCACCTCAGGGATATTCGATATTTATTGTTTAATATGAAAACCATTTTCTTTTTTATACATCTATTTACGTATTTATACAGTTTCTAATTTGATTTGTTTATTAAATATATTAACATTCTTTTCACGAACCACTTATTTGGCAAGCTTTATTATTACAAAGGTTTTTATTTAAATAAGTTAAACATCACAATTACACAAGTGCTTCGATGTTAAAATTAAAAACAAAAATTCGTAACATTTTATAAATTATTGTATGCGAAAACTGTTAGTTTATTAGTAGAAACAAAATAAAATTAAAAAACAAGAAATATGTGGTGTCACCGTGTCGAAAACTGGATAAACGTATTACACAGCAGTCGTGGCCGAGTGGTTAAGGCGTCTGACTAGAAATCAGATTCCCTCTGGGAGCGTAGGTTCGAGTCCTACCGACTGCGGAAATGTGGATAAATATTTTTTTTCTTTTTTTTTTTTTAAATTATATTCACAGGAACAAAAGTGTTTTTTCATTTTTAGCCAGTACTAATAAAGAATTTAAAAAAAAAAAAATAAAAAAGATATCAAAATAAAAAATAACTCAGCAATTTGCAATTGTGTATAACAATGTTACAAAATTAATAATTCATTTCCTCATTTTGCTAAATTCATTAGAACAGTTGAGAAAATAAAGAAGAATTTTCTCTAGAAAATTAAATTTTTTCCGATGACACACGAATAAATTTAAATAAGATGAAAGGTGACATTAATGAATTAATAAGATAACAAAATGATACCGAAAGAAATACTAAACTCAACAATTTGCAATTGTGTATAACAATGTTACCAAATTAATAATACATTTTTTTTTTTTTCAATTTTTGCGTTCGCCAGAACATTTGAAGAAAGAGAGAGAAGAACACGGAAGAATTTTCTCTGGAGAATAAAATTTATTCTCGTTGACTCGAAAAAAAAACCACGTACGCTTTTTCTTTACAAACACAAGAGAAGGATTCATTTATACGTAGAGAAAGAAAAGACAAAAGGGATGATGAATGAACTCATTTTATTTGGAAAGAAAAAAGAAAAAAGATAAAAGACAGAAAGACACAAAAAATGTGACATTAAATAATATTTCCAAGCGTACGTCAGGTTCCGTTATGTTCTGGGCTCATTATAACCAAAACGTACAATGATATTATTACAATTTTTAACATGTATTATTATCTTTCTCAGACATAAAAAATTCTATGCTATTTTTTGATAAGAATGTTAAATTTTAATGAGGAATATTTTCATAATATTTTTAATTAACGAAAAAAAAAACGTATGAAATAATTTATAAAATAAATTTATATATATTTAAAATAATAATTATTTATTTAATGCATCTATTTATATGTACATATAAAATAACATGATTAAATATAATTATTATTAACCCTTTGAGTGCTATGGACGCATATATGCGTTTGGTAAAAATTACTAGCGTGGTCGTTCGGCACATACATATTTGTTAATATTAATGTAAAATATAATGTAATGTTTATATTAATTAAATTCAATTATATTCACTGAAGTAAAAATTTTAACTATTAAATATAATTTATTATTAGATTTTGGTTAATAATAAATTATTCCGTTCCTAGAAAACATTTTAGGTAAAAGTATTCAGCACTCAAAGGATTAATTGATATTTGAATTAAAAATCATTAGAGAAAAAATTTTTCAAATAATAATTATAATTTTAACGAACCTTTATCGCAATAAGAAATTGAATTGTAAGATCGAAAAAATAAATTTAACAGGTTATATGGTAAAATAAATAGGAAGATTTTCTAAAGTCGAGTAGATGGTTATTATCTTCACGTTCTTTTCCTTTTTTTTTTTTCTTTTTTTTTTTTTATCATCATCGGAAGTTTTTCGTTTCGTAAATTGTACAAGGAAAGCTAGGAGATTCTATCTTTTTCGACTTAGTTTTCAACGATCGTTATTTTCTTCCATTCGGTTAACGCGTTCTCTTGCACGTATTACGAACACAACAAAAGACAACCCTCTTTTCTTTGAAGGAAAGAAAGAAAAGAAAAACGAAAAGGAAAGAAAAGTAGAGGAAAAATAAATGGTAGATTAGATTCGTAGACAAGTCTCGTACACAAGTTCAAGGAAAATAAAAATCTGTTGTTAATTGCACGCTGACACGATTTTTTTCCACGTCTGAAAAGAAACAATAAATAAATAAATAAATGTAATATAAATTACGAACAAATATTTGGTTTAATAACATTGTCTTGGAATTGTTAATAAATTATTTTGTTTTAAATTATTTTTTATTTCTCATTTTAGGTCCAAACGTGTGCATGTCCGAAGAATGCGTGAGAACCGGTAAGTTTTTATACATAATATAATATAATATTTGTTTTTATTTGATTATTTAATATTAATATATTAAATATTAGTACAATCCTAAATATATGAATATACGTACTTGTGTAAAAGTTTATGTCTATTTAAAAAAAAAAAAAAAAACAGAAATCAACGTGGAAATTTATTTACAATATTTCTTGTGTTAACGAATAAAAATAATTTTACTAACTTAATTACTAAATATTAAACAAAAAAGAACGTACAGATTTAATTACAATATTTTTCAATTTAATAAATAACAAGAATTCTATACTAATTTAATTATTAAATATTAAATACTTTTATATAAAAGTAATATCGAGTTGTTAATTAAATTTTACGTCGATTATGCTCATATATGTATATTATTTATTTTATCAAGAATTTTAATGAATTAATTAACACGTCCTCTTTAACCGAGCATAGGATGAACGTGCTGAAAATCGGTGGTAAATTAGGGCTGCGGATAAGCGTTCATCAAGCGTGATTGATTGTGTAGCGGTGATCGAAAGCAAACACGTTTATATCAGGTACTGCGGACAGGTTACGAAATCGAATTACGGTGTTACATGGTATCGATTAATTACCGTTCGCTAAATTCGTCCCTTCATGATGTTTTTTTATTTTATTATTATGTTTCAATATATCGGTCATTATTGATTAATTCATTTTCTTCACGTTAATATGAATTTTTTTTTGTATTTTTATTAATTAATTACCTTTGATTGCGTATACATATATTGCATATTACACATGTAACTTAAAAATAAATATTTCATGTAATAGTATTTGTATTTTTTTATTTGTTATATATTTATTTGTTTTAATAAATATTTTTTTTTATAATTTATACAATATTATATTCTAAGTTATGGGTAATATTTATCTTTATTATTACAATATATATCTTTATATATATATAAATTCTGTGTTATATTGCTGGTTTCCAATGAGTGTTCAGTGTTATATTGTTGGTTTCAAAACTACTGAACCGATATTAATGAAATTTTTTTTATTTTGTGTTTTTTTTTCAACTTAGTACATAGGATAGTTTTTATTGCTATTATTTTTTATTTTTTATAACTAATTTTTAAGGATTTATTATTTAAGGGTTATGTAGATCTTTAGGTACTGTAAGTTTTCAATAGATGGCGTTGTATTACAATTCAATTATTTCGATATATTTACGTCATACTTTTTTTTTCTAATTTACATACGACGTAACCTAACCTTGCTTTTTATATTTTTTCGTGTATTATTATTTTATGTATTCTACTCTAATTGTGGTATTATTTTGTGTGTTGTTATAATTTACTAAATAGTTTAGAATTATATTAAATCAACATTTTATAACAAAGCTGCAGCAACGTATGGCCAGAGCACCCTAGTATATATATATTAATATATAATAAATAATACATATATAAAAAAATATTAATACAATATTTTTGTGTTATTATACTTTTATCGTATATCTGCGTTATGTTATACGATTAATTACAAAAGTATTTTATAAACGTAATTTTAACGTTAAATATCTAGTTTTATTTTAACGATATTGCGTTTATAAGTGAAGGACTGGGGGTGGGGGCGGGATAGATATTAATCAGAACTGCAATTAATTTACGGCAGTGTACACGACAGCTCATTTCATCGACATCGTTCAGTTAAGTTGTGTCAGGATATTAATCTTGCTTTCTAGATAATAACGTTATCCAACAATTTTACTAGTTTCCTAGGAAAGATCTTATTTTGACATAGTAATTAAATAGGTAATAAAAAAAGAGATAAAAATGATAAATAACAACTTAATCCGGTTTTTTTTTTATTTAATAATTCGACAATATGATTTGTAATAATTTTAATAAATAGGTAAATAATTAATTTTAATATTAGGTCTACCAAAAAATTCTGTCCATTTTTAAAATAAACTAAAATAATAAATTATTCATAATTTGAACAATTAATTAATTTAATTACTTTTGAACTCTTGCCAGTATGATGGCAATTTGTATATTCCATTTTAAAAAATGGGGCCTTACCCCTAGTGACGAAAAATTGAACTAATGTTCGTTTGAACGGACAGAATTTTCCGGTAGACCTAATATTTATCTTTAGAATATTTAATCTTTGTATATTATATGAAAAGAAAAAAAAAACAAGAATAATATTAAGAATATTTTTTTTTAACTTACAATTACAAATAAAATTAAAAAAATTTATTTTCATGTAGCTGCAAGTTTGCTATCAGCCATGGACAGAACTGTATCACCTTGCGATAACTTTTTTCTATACGCATGCGGTACTTGGAATCGTTTGCATGTAATACCAGAAGACAGAAGTTCTATTAGTACATTTGAAGTACTCGCTGATCAATTGCAAGTTATTTTGAAACGAGTTCTTGAAGAATCACCGAACGAGAACGACAATAATGCAACCCTCAAGGCCAAAATGTTCTACAAATCGTGCATGGACATCCGTGGGTATAAAAAAGAAATTACAGAAATGTAAATTAACGGTAGTCCAAGATATTTTCTTCAATATTTTATGTACATAAACATTTAGATTTTTATTTTAAGAATTAAGAATTATTCAATATAAACAAGAGGCTACTATTTATTGGTATAAGCAATTTCAATAATTTTATTTTCAGTATTTTCTATAAGTGATCAGTATAGGTGTGTAACCCTAACATATTAATATGTTATATATTAGTTAATAGTTCGGAAAGTATGATAGTTGCAGAAAAGTTTGTTCATAAAAAGTTGCATGAAAAATTCAGGATTATAATATGACGTTAGTTTTTTTCTGTTAGGTTCAGTATATCTTGAGATTTATTGTTCAACTTTGTTTTTTTAAATATAATGTTATATTTTAATACTTATTTTCTGACAGCGGCTGTCAAGACGAATCCAATGATGTGCAACATTAATATTTTTGGAGGTCACCGAAGGTCAAAACTGGCGAACAAAAAACAAACCGGCTACAATAAAGCTCTGCCGCGTCATGGTCGCGTCCGTGCTTGCATCAGATTTGTTTCACTGTATACCTGCATCAAGTTTGTGTCACTGTATACTTGTTCCGACAACGGACGAAACAGATATTTTCCGAATAGTTTTTATTAGTTATTGTCAGGTTTTGTATTTAATGTTGCATATCATTGGATTCGTCTTGACAGCCGCTATCAGAAAATAAGTATTAAAATATAGTATTGTCTTTAACTAAACAAAGTTGACCTATAGATTTAGAAATATACTGTACCTAGCAAAAAAAACTCACATTATATTATAGTCCTGAATTTTTCAAGCAACTTTTCCTTAATAAACTTTTCTGCAATTATTATACTTTCGGAATTATTTAGGTGACAATAGTTACTGATTTACCCTGTATATTTATTATGTTGTTATTTATAATGTTATATTAAATTTTATAAAATAAATATCGTAAAATTTAATTGATTATTTAATTATATATATTATATATATATATATAATTATATATTAATAATAATATATAATTATGTATTATATATTAATTTATAAATATAATGTTATGTATGTTATTAATATATAATTTATAATATTATAATAAATAAAAAAAATATATGTTATATATAATTATATATAATAATATAAAATAATATATATAAAAAATTAATTGTATATTTATATATACAAATACTGATCATTTATTTTTACTGAAAATACTAATTAACAAATTTTAGAAAATAGTTATTTAAATAAGTAAAAGTGCAACGAAACTAAAATAACTAAAATAAAGATTTTAGTGTAAGAATTTTGATTGTTTGTATATTGATTGTTTTAATATTAATTATTGGACAGCACGCATCCGAGATATCGGTGACAAACCTTTAAAAAAAGTATTGGCATCACTTGGTGGTTGGCCTGCGGTGATTGGAAACTCTTGGAAACCACCACCTTATTCAATCGAAGTTCTATTAGGTCGTCTTCGTGGTGAATACAATGAAGGTATCCTCATGGAACAATGGGTTGGCCCAGACGACAAGAATTCCTCAACCAACATCCTGCAGGTGCGCCGGCAAAGTAAGGCCCCTTGGTCGACGAATGCATGACATTCTCTTTTTTTATTTTATTACAAAACAAACAACTAAAAGAAAAACAACAACGATAAAAAATAATCTGTTGATCAGTATCAGAATTCATTTTATTTTCGTCTAATATAATTTATTAAATCTATAAAAAAAAAAGAGAGAGCGGCTCTTATTCCATTTGATTGAACAATTAATATTTTGTTGTTTAAACATTTTTGATCGTTATTTCGTTAAATAAATAATATTTAATACATATAAATATTATTTTCGATATATAAATAATAATTCGTCAATATTTTAAATTACATGTTAACATTGTATTGTATAAATATTGATCAAAAATGTTTACAAAAATATTGATCCCAATGAAATGGTACTCAATTAGAAATCGTATTTATTAATGAAAAAAAAGAAACAAATAAAATAAAATAAAATAAATGAATTTCCAATAAAGTTAGTCGTTATAATATACTTTGATGACTCTATGTTAAAAAAAAAAAAAAAACTAAATCGTTCAATGTTAATACTTATTTGTTCTTATGGTTTTTTTTCCATTAGTTGGACCAGATGCAGTTTGCGTTACCTAGTAGGGATTATTATTTGAAGAAGAACAGCGAGGCGGAGTTGAAAGCTTATCATCGTTACATGACAAATGTCGCAGTGTTGCTAGGTGCAAATCCCGATACGGCTGCATACGAGTTCAATCGCGTGATCGCCCTTGAAAAAAAACTTGCTAATGTACGTGTGTGTGAATGTATGCGTGTGTTATGTATACCCTTCGTACATTTTTATTTTTTTCTCTCTTTCTTTCTCTCTTTCTTATCCGTTTTTGGAAGTTGTTGCGTTTGATATCGAATCAAACTCGATTTTGACCAACTATCAAAACGGTTTTCTTTTTTTTCCTTTTTTTTTTTCATATGTTACCTTTTTTCATTTTTTTATTCTTTCTAGTTTTATTTTTTTCCCACTTGTGTATCTTTAAACTTGCAGGCCTCGTTGCCCGAGGCTGACAGGCACGACACCTCTCTGATCTACAGAAAGTTAACGTTGCGGGAACTACAAGAAGAAGTGCCGCAACTTCAATGGAAAGTTTATCTTCAAGAATTCGTAAGTGCTCCAATTACCGAGGACGAGCCTGTAGTAGCATACGCGATGCCCTACTTCCTTCAAATGGGTCGCATTGTTCAGAAAACTGATCGCAGGTAATCGAATTATTTTTTCCCCCTACCTATCATCATCGTCATCAAATTATTCCATTACTTTATTTTCCCATTACTTTTTGATCGGTAGTTAAATGGACGTTTAATTTGATTATTAAAATTCAATTTTTAAACTGTTAGGGGTGTTTCTTCTTTTTTTTATCTTTTTAAATTTCTTACTTCAATCAACCGTCATTTTTTGATTGAAGTTCTAACGTAAAATAGGCCTGTTTTAAATTTGATTTTCCGATAATTTCATTTTTTTGTTTGTTTGTTTTATTTAGTAACATTTATTTTAACATCATTTTCTGATAAAAAAATCTGCTCGATTAATAACATTTTGTTTATTGTTCCTATTTTTAATTTCGTAATTTTTTATTCTTGGCAGAACGTTGCACAATTATATAATATGGCGATTTGTAATGTCGATCATGCCGCATATGATAGACGAATATCAGCAAAAGAGAACCGAGTTTCGCAAGATACTATCAGGTATACTAAGTGAAAGAAACAGGTGGTCCGAATGCGTCGAATGGACCAATAGGAATCTTGGTATGGCAGTGGGTGCTCTTTTCATACGTGATAACTTCAATCACGAGAGCAAGGTTGTTACAGATATTCATCATTTCAATGTTACATAGTAAATGATTGAATAAGTCTTTTATGGTAAATGGTGAATGGTGAATAATCGTTTGATCGTTTGTAGGAAACGGCTTTGGAAATGATACGAACGATACGTGAAGCTTTCAATGAATTGCTTGCTGAAAATCAATGGATGGATGATGAAACCAGAACCGTTGCTAAAGGTAAAGCTGATTCAATGAATGAGAGAATCGGTTATCCTGAGTTTCTGAAGGATCCCGTCAAACTTTCAATGCAATATTTGACGGTAATTATCTTAAACGATAAAATACTTATTAAGATTTTTTCTTTTTGTCAATTTCATTTGATTCATTGATAATTGTTTTTCTAAAATATATTTTCAGTTGAACATAACGGAGGACCGTTTTTTGGAAAATGTTTTGGCAGTGCACAAGTACGAAGCTTATCACAATCTCCAAGAATTACGTCAACCAGTCGACAAGGACAAATGGTCTACGGAACCGGCCGTCTTAAATGCCTTTTATAATCCCAATAAAAATGACATCGGTAAGTCAGAAGACAATAAAGATAGGATTATGAAGCTTAACAAAGTAATCGTCAAACTGTGGGTTTTTAGTATTTCCAGCAGGAATTCTACAACCCCTGTTCTATTCTCAACACTTTCCTAAATCATTGAATTACGGGGGAATCGGTGTGGTGATTGGTCATGAGATAACTCACGGTTTCGATGACAAAGGACGACAATTTGACAAAGATGGTAACATGATGCAATGGTGGAATAATGCAACTATTAAAGCATTTCGAGAGAGAACGCAGTGTATCGTTGATCAGTATTCCGGATATAAATTAGAAGAAGTTGATCTTTATATAAACGGTCGTATGACGCAAGGTGAAAATATTGCTGATAATGGTGGACTAAAACAATCGTTTCGTGTAAGTATGATATATCCGATTCATTACAATCTATCAGGTTTTTACGAATGTTATATTATAAACATATTTACGTTATGTTATGTTACGTTATTATTTACATATTTATCATTAGAAACAAATTTATTCGGTAGTACAACAAGCAAAGATTCAGAAACATATTGTTGTGTATATTTTTGTAATTACCTGTGGCATTTTTTAACTTTGTTTGTAATTTATTTTAGGCTTACAAAAAATGGGTCTCGATACACGGACAGGAACCATTATTACCTGGCGTGAATTTAACTCACGATCAACTGTTTTTCCTAAATTATGCTCAAATTTGGTGTGGTTCGATGAGACGGGAAGATGCTTTAACCAAAATACGTAGTAGCGTGCATTCACCTGGTCCTGTTAGAGTGTTAGGTCCGCTTTCTAATAGTGAGGATTTTGCAAAGGCCTACAATTGTCAACCAGGCTCACGGATGAATCCAATCCGTAAATGTAGCGTCTGGTAAATAAGTTGACTACAAATTATTCAAAATAAAAAGAATGTGGGAGAGAATTTTTCTTTTTTTTTTTCAAAAAATATAATCCATTTTCAAATAAATCTATTATAATATAGAAAATGAATAGTTCATGATGATATAGATGAACGAGGTTCTGCATGATGTCATTGTAGTAAATCCAATATGGAGTCCATGTTTCGTGGTAGCCATTTTTTCAGGCGCCATTTAAGATGCATATCGAACTTTATTTACAATTTTATCTTCGAAAAAATGCAGTAATATAGACGAAGATGATGATAGTCATATGAAAGAGAGGGGAATGGTAATATATATATATGAGTCTAAGAGACCTAAACGGAGTTGTTCAAGTATCGTTCAAGTGGTATATCATCATCAACGAGATATCGAGCTTTAATAACGATCAATAAATATCAAACGGCCACGGTTATTTGGACAGCTCCTCTATAGGGGAGAAGAAATAAAGCGTATGTATATATTCAATGTATACGTCTGTATGTGTGGATGCACGAATGTGTGTATGTATGTATGTATATCTGCAAAAGGATCTAAACTGACGATAAACGTTTTTCGCGTGAGCAAATACACATATGGAAGTATAAAAAAAAAAAATAAAGTACATAGTTACTATTAGAAAATTTCACGATGAAGTACTCAAGAATTTTGAATTGCAAACATTTCCCATAAGAATGGGAATTAAAATAATTATTCATTTTATATATGTTAAATATTTGTAATGGAAATCCATTTTAGATAGATTCATGGAATAGCACGTACATAATATATAAATTAATTAATTAATAATTAATAGTAATAATAATTATTATTATAATAATAATAACATTAAAAATAATAAATCCCCTGCGGATTTTGGGAGAAGACCGCAGTACCCCCTACTTGTCGTAAGAGGCGACTAAAAGGGAAACCATTAACGAAGATTGATTTCCTTCACTCTTAATAATAATAATAATAATAATAATAATAATAATAATAATAATAATAATAATAATAATAATAATAATTGTTAAATTGCCTGAATCTGTCGGTTTGCGTTATTAGTGAATGAACAACAACAGCAGTAACATCAGTAACAATAATAACGACACGATAACAGTAAAACATTACAATAATGGTGTATTTTTAAAGTATAATACTTACATAAGATATCTAAGTATTGTTTCTTTTTTCTTTCTTGTGACCTACTTCTTGATGTTTATATTTTTTTCTATTTTACTTTTTACATTCGATCACGACATTTAAAAGTAAAAAAAGAGATCATAATAATAGATTTCAATATAAATAGTCATGCAATTACGAATGTAAGCCGACCCGTGAAAAATCTTTTCTACGACGATCACGAGATGAAATCTCTGATTCTTTTTTTTTTCGCCTTCTCTAACAATAAGATTGAGAAGAATACGAATTATAATATCCTATATATAATATAAATATGTATATGTATGTGCAGAGATATATACAGGGTGTATATCTACAGGAATATAGCAAATAAAATATAAGGTTCCATTTAAAGTAACACCGATAATCTCGAATCTCGTAAAAAAAAAATTATCTTGAGAAATAATTTTTTTATTTTTCTTTTAGACCATCCCACTCTACCCCTCTCTCCCGTTCCTGGAATAATGCCAATTTTTTAATACGTTTGCATATAAAGGAAATATTTAAGTGATCACCCTGTACACACTACAGAGTACATATTTTGAAATATTTTCAAGAACGTATCAAGGACATCCTAAAGAACAATGTTCAACCCGTTTTCTTTTTCTTTCTTTGTTTGTTTTTTTTTTCTTTTTTTTGTATAAATAATACAAACTTAATCGTGATAAATTATCATTGCAATAATATTATATCGTATTTTATTTAAATCTATTGAAATTGAAATAAGATCATTTTTTTTATGTTCTTGCATGATAAAATTAAAATTAAAATTTTATTTCAGTCCTATTGAATGTTACCGATAAATCTTTAAATATTCTGACGAATAAATGAATAAATAAAAAATCATCAATTGCAGTACGTATTCTCGGTATGTATCGTCGCGTTTTGTCTAACTGATTATTCAATAAATAATAATAATTCATGAAACATGCATATATGAATCAAGAGTTAATTTTTTTTTTTTAGGGATACTTTGTGTATACATATATAATACATACACATTATACAATATTACATATATACAAATATGTATATATATATATATATATATATATGTAATTGTGTCGATATATTTAAGAGAAAATAAATGAAACAGGCAGTCATGTATTTGTTGAAAGATTTACTCTAGTATCGGAACATATCATCCATACATAGCACGGTCAATGCCGATCTTGCTTGTTTTTATGTAAAAAAGGTGGAAATAAAAATAATATACAACAGACAGAGGGCTTTCTCTCTCTCTCTCTCTTTCTTTCTTACTCTCTTCTCTCTCACTACTCTCACTCTCACTCTCTCTATCTCTCTCGCTCTCTCTTTATTTCTCTTTTATATCCTTTCTTTCATTATCTTGTCCTCTCCCTTTCTCTCTTTCTCTCAATTTCGCTTAAACATAACATATGCGTCTCAAACGCGGTGCATTTTGTTTCCCCGGTACCGCGCATACCTTTTTTTTTTTTATATTCTTTTATTTAGTTCGTAAATATATTCATATAAAATTGTAATTTAGTCAAAATTTGTACATATTGCACGGTCCAATAAGGATTTTATGAATCTATATAATTATAATAATAATAAAAATAATAATAATAATATAACATAATATATTTATAATATTAATATAATATAATATCATAATATAATATAAAATATAATAATAATAATAATAATAATAATAATAATAATAATAATAATAATATTAAGAAAAAATAATAATGATAATTATCATTCATAATAGTGAATAGAAATAATAATAATAATAATAAAAATTAATAACAATTAGTCTTAATATTAAACTGCGCAATTAAAAAAAAAGAAAGGAAAAGAATAATAAACAAAAGAAAAAGGAAAAAGAAAAGAATAATAAGAAATAAAAGAGGACACAGTGACACTTTTTATAGTCCGTATAAATAATAGCGAAAAATAATAGTAGTGTTCTGTATAAAATATTATTTGACACGAATATTATATTATTAACGTATGTACGAGTTAATGCCGGCAAATTTGAATGAATTATCTATAGTTGTTGAGAGAAAAAAAAAGAGGAGAGGAGACGGGTCTGAAGACGAGTGGTTGGGTGTTCAATTATAAACAAAATTTTTCTTTGCATTCTTAATTTTTAAAAACATGGTTCATCTTTTTTTTTCTTCGTGCCAGTACATATGAGAGAGAGAGTGAGAGAGAGAGAGAGAGAGAGAGAGAGAGAGAGAGAGAGGGAAATTGCAAGTGAAAATGAAAAAGAAGGATAGAAAGAGTTAGATAAACCTACACGAGAGAGAGAGAGAGAGAGAGAAAGAGAGAGAAAGAGAGATGGTATATGGTGTTTAAAATAAAAAGAGAGGAGAAGGACAACGTTTATGGCGCACTGTCGAGACGTTAACTAATAATCATCATTATTTAACATTAATAATAATAATATTAATAATATTAATAAAATTATAATAATAATAAAATAATAATAATAAAATAATAATAATAATAATAATAATAATAACTCCGGTTATAGCATATAACTATTGCTAACGTAACAAGTTTCTCTTATCTTATGTACAACAACTTATTTTGAGTGTCTCGTATTAATTATAATTGTATTTCGAGGACGGAGAAAGATAATATATAATAAAGTATGGTTTAGAGAAGGGCCATTTAAAAAATTCGTCCGAGCACATAAACATTTTGTTTTATCTTTTTTCTTGTCGACGACAATATGACATTTATATTTTTTTTTCTTACTCGTTGGATGCAGCTCAACGAAACAAATGCTTCTCTTCCGATAAATATAATATGTTATATTATTATTTATAGTGTATGATGGACGTTCTACCTCTCATCATCATTTTTCTCTTCTATTTCAAGAGTCACGTGATACGAGATAGCAACGCTTTACGAAAATATAATAACAATAATTAATAAACGCCATTTGATCGTATTTGAAGAAATTATTTTGAAAATGGACAAAAACGTCGAATATTGTTCTTTATTTGCCATATTATGTGTTTTTAAAGTTACGTACGATATATTTATTTATTGTAAATAGAGAGAAAAAGAAAGATAGACAGAGAGAGAGAGAGAGAGAGAGAGAGAAAGAGAAAGGGGTTGTAATACAACATGGCGACCACGTCTTCGAATTTTCGTCGAGTTTCCGATAAAAACGCGAAAAATTCTCGCTTTTTTCTTTCGGTTTATTATTTTCGTCGCTTAAGGACATTCCAAAAAAATAATGCGGCTCTTTGTTATTTTATTTTTTATTTATTTAATTATTTATTTATTTATTTATCTTTTTATCTTTTTCTTCTTCTTCTTCCACCTCGACGTTCGTTCATTTATCAGTTAACGTTAATTAATTATTTTGTATTTATGAATGTTTGTTCGTTTGTTTGTTTATTTAATTATTTATTTATTTATTTGTTTGTTTGTTTGTTTGTTTGTTTGTTGTCATCGTTACACATAACATACGTTAAACAACGTACGTTCTAATCTACACCCTGATACCCCATACGTACGTAAATTCACGGTTTTTTTTATACTATTTGTTATTTTTTTTTTTTTATTAAAAATTTTTTTCTTATATGTATTTATAATTCATTAAACGCAAATATTCGATTCGCGCTAGTGCATATGCATATTGTTTCTTTTTTTTTTTTCACTAAGCTTTCTTTTTCTTTCTATTTAAACTCACCCCCAACTCCTCTCTTTGTCGTCGTCGTCATCGTCATCGTCATCGTCGTTTCGATATTCTTTTCAGAAAAATATATATTTATGTACTTTTTTCTTTTTCTTTATGTATTTATGTTATGTATTTTTATGTATGTATATATATATATATAGATATCTCATATATTATATATACTATGTAAATTTATACATCGACGGATCTCAACGAAAGTTACGAAGACGTGATCATTTTCTAACACTTATTATTCAACTCCTTCTTTATGAAATTTTGTTTGATATTCCTTCTCACAATTTACGTATCTTGTTCTTTTATTTGTATGTTTCTAACGTTATATACCATTCGTGCAAATCTTCTTCGAGAAAATAAATTATTAGATATTTTTTTTTGTGAGAAGGATTATCAATTATGTAACTCTCTTTCTCTCTCTCTCTCTCTCTCTCTCTCTCTTTTTCTCTTTCTTTTTTTCTCCGTCACAATATCAATATTTCGAAAGTATATCATCAATCGTTTACTTTACATTGAATTCTTTTTGAAAACACATATTTCAACATCGTGAAATTCACGAACTTTTCGAAGTAAAATGGTGGTGGCCATTTACAATAAGCGGAATATTTTACGTTCGAACATCGTCATCCAACAAGCTAATAATTAAACGAGTAATATTAATAAATAAAAGTGCATTTAAATAGAAAAATTTGTTTTCTCCCGTTAAAAAAATATATATATATATATATATAT